TATTTATTTCGTATAATATATAAATTATACACATAAAAAAATCTGATTCAATAACTTTCATTCATTTTCATTCTGTGAAAATTCTGTGAAAGTCAATTTCATTCTGTTGAGGAAATCGTAGTGGCATACTTTCTAAGTCGTGCAGAGTTTTCCTTGTAATATAATATAAGTTAATCTAAGCATAACAAATTATGGATTTAAAATTGTACCTACTTAGAAAAGTTTTAGAAAAAAATATTAGTCGTGATCCAAATACCGAGATAGTAACAAGTATAACATAAAATCAATTTTTTTGCATTTAAAAATGCTAATAAGCTTGTTACTCTTTTTGTTAGTCAATTTTTTTTGCTGTACCTGTTCTAAGTACATATCTGTTTTTGTAGAATTTTTCGTACAGATAGTCCCATCGTTAATATCTAGACATTAATTAGAACGTAATAATCGTTAATATCTAGGCAATAAGCATACATTAATTATGATTTTATTTAAATTTTATTATTTAATAAGTCGTATAAAGCAATCAAAATGGCTAACAGACAGTTATTTTAGTAGTTTTCTAATTTTATACTTACATATGAAATTACATTAAATATTTAACAATTAGCTATCTAAAAATAAATGTATACAGCAAGTCAATCTTAAAAGTAGCTCAAACCTACTAATTATCAGTTTAAAAGAAATCACAGTGGCAAATGCCTATAATTCTTTGGGCGAAATTAAGTTATAATATCAATTTGTGATTTTAAAACAAGTTTTCTATCTAAAATCCATTTCTAGACCTTATATTATCTTGCTAATAAATAAATTAGAAAACTTGACGCCATATCTACATTTACTTTAATCTATACGGAGTAGGCAAATTAGACAGGCGTAATTAATATTAATAGATAATACCTCGATGGGAGAGCGGTAGCCGACAGAACGTATAGTTATTTTTCATATTGATGACCGATGTGACGCAGTGGTTCAAGCTTTTATTAGATTGCATTGGCGTTGATCGATCATTCGATTCCTATGCGAAGTATGTAAATACTTTTTCTGATTTGGCGGAAATCTGAGGAAATAATTCCCATATTAATTAAACAAGTGAGTTTAAATATGACAATTATTTCTACAAAATCTACTATTATAATAGGCGTTCATTATGTTGTTTTAACTTATTACCTAATACTATAAATTTGAATTTGTTTGTTCGTTTGTAAAACTTGTACGCAACAATGAAACAACACAGGTATTTTACGACGTGATTTACAGATTTACATCTAGAATTTTTGCGCTAAAGAGCACAGACTAGCAATGCTTAAAGTCCACATCAAATGATTTCCTAGGGATTGTATAGTGCAAAAAGCTTTAGGTTAGAACCTATAATTACAGAGATAAAGGTCAATTTACTTTTACTAACTTGCATAAACTTGAGTTATTTGCTAAAGGCTTGCATTTCTCCATCGCTGAGCGAATCGCATCAACACTCTTAGTTAACAGATCTACTCAAATAAAGGGCCGTAAGTGACATGATAAAAATCAATCATCCTATAACTGTATGGTTTAAATTGTAAAAAAAATATAATTAAAACTGGATAAATAATATGTAAAGTAAGGACGACAGAATATGATTTTTAAACGTATGTTTGACTTTCCCTGATAGTCCATAGGTGTGTCACTGATGACCTAGATTCCTAGACATAGGCCTTTGTCAGTGACACATTGTTTAATATAAAATCGATAATGTTTATTTTGAAATATTTGTAAAAATAACATCTTTGTTTAACATAATATGTACGCATTATCATTTGTTAAGATTTATGTCACCTCTGTGATAAGTTCAGTTATTATTGATTAATTACTTTATTTTATCTAAATTTTTATATAAAAAAATTATTGAGTTGATATTTGAAATTTTCATCTATTTAAAAAAAAAATAAAGTTATTTTTTTAATATTGGTACCTAATTTTAATTATAGTTTCAATTTATATCTATCAGAATTTAGGTAAATATGACATTCATATAGAAGATAAAAGACCTTCGACAAACGAAAGAAAATATCTATTGTTCTAAGCAAAACCTTATTTAGAAATCGAAGCCGTGACTTCTGACTCAGCATACAATACCGTACATTAACTATGTCAAACCACTCAATAATTTTGACGGAAGCTTATTTAGTAGCTTTTTGTATTTATGGACGAACACACATAAATAATACATTTGTCAAATAATATATTCAGATTAATGTAAAAAGGTTTATTTAGTAATAAATTTAACGTTTATATTCTAATTTATGGCATTATAATATGCGAACCGGCGTCCAAACGATGTGGACAGCATGTATAGAGCTAGTGTAATTTGCCAAATTGTGCTATTGCCAATACTGTAATTTATTATGACATCCTTAACTTTACATGGGAAAATGTTATTTCAAATACATTTACTTAAAAGCATATAGAAGACGCATATGTACTAAATAATTCAGAGACTTTTTCTTAAATCTGATCTTACTCGTAAATCATTTCCAACATGATGATCACTTGCTGTTACGTTGAAGGGAAACATCTTGAGAAAACCTGCATGTCTGAGAGAACCTAACCAGTTTTCGAAAGACATGTGAAGTCCCACCATCCCACGCTTGGCCAGCATGGTGGACTATGGTCCTCGCATTGAAGAGAGGCCCATGCCCTACAGTAGGACGTTTTACGATTGTTAAATAATATTTCGTAAAAAAACATTTTTCATTTTAAAACGCAGAAAGCTTATTATAACAAAAACTAGGTTCTATCTATACATATAGGTAATATATATATATAGGTAAAAAAACAATCTACTTACATTGATAATCTAAAACATTCGCCAATAATACCACTATCTAACCTGAGATTACATTTATTTTACTACGCTTCTATATATTTACAAATGAAAACGGCCGTAGCAGTTGTTAGATAATTTTATTTAGATTTGTATTTATTTTATTGTATCCAGTTCTATCTAACAGTTTGTTTAAACGATAGTTAAACTAAAATACGTTTAGTAGGACATTAAACGTTAACTCGGTCAGTTAGATAGTAATTGCTGTAACTGCTATATCTTTGTTATGGGAAATGCAATGTTTATGCAATATCTAATTCTAATTATTTTAAGCTAGCAACTCACTCGCTTCGTTTTATCTTAAATAATAGTAGCCTGAGTTACTCCTTAAAACATCAGCTATATGCTGGTAAAAGTCCCGTTAAAATCGGTCCAACTGTTTCTGAGATTAGTCGAAACAAACAGAGAGAATTGTAAAAATTGTTTATTGTTAGGTATAGGTACCGTACCGTATATATTTTCATGTGCATTTAGTAATAAGCTGTTATTTTGACATTACAGACTTCAATTTTAGTAATGACTAGCATTGCCCGCAGCTCCGCCCGGGTTCAGATGACTAAGAACGAAATTCTTTTACTTATTAGTATGCTCTTACTGTGCAGTTTTTGTATTTTTTCTCACAAATGAGATATTTTCCCGCAGTAAAAAGTATCCCATACGTTGACCCGGATAACCAGCTATCATCATAACAAAATTCATCAAAATCCCTCCAGAGGTTTTTCCGTGATGCGGTAACAGACAGACAGATAGACAGACAAAAATTCTAAAAACTATAGATTCGGCCTCTGTATCGATAATAATACCTATTTCAATAAGATTTTCCAAATTATATTTAATGTACAGATTCGGCTTAGTTACAATTTTATTATATTTATAGATTATATTATATCAAACAAACAGTAAGGCAATGTATATTTTAGTAAAGGAACTTGTTTCTTAAATTTATATTATAATATTGTGAACAACTAAAACAAATAATACTTTCTTAGATTTACGCGAATGTTTGACATTATTAAAAAAAACGTCGGGAACCAAAAATCAAAATAAATCCGCGAAATAATCCGAAAAGATAGTTTTATTTAATAAAACAAATAAATTTAATAGAAATGAAATCAAAAACAACAGTTTTGTTCTTTACAAAGAATGATTAGGATTAGTACAGCAGCGATAATGCCCTCGACGCCTTTCAGTAAGATCCACACTTTTACAGCTTCCCTGGCATTTTAATGAAGCCGTAAAATAGGTTAGTTTAACCATGTGAAACAAACTGTGACACGCTTAGTTTTAAATATCAACATTTGTAAAAATAAGTCACTTTGTACATTCATTTTGAATAAATAAAAGTAAAAATATTCACTATTACTTTATTATATTTATAATAATAATTATTATTTTTGTATAAAAAATAAAAATCCATACTAATATTATAAATGTTAAAGTGTGTTTGTTTGTTTGTTTGTTTGTTTGTTTGTTTGTCCTTCTTTCCCGTCGAAATGGAGTGACGGATTGGCTTGATTTTTTGTGTGGAGATGATTGGAGAGCTGGAGAGTGACACAGGCTACTTTTTACCGCGTCAGATTATCTAATTCCCACGGTATAACACGTTATAATACAATCAAAAAAATATTTATGATCAGAATTACTTGAAATTTGGTATTAATGCTCTTCAATAAAATTAAATAAATAGTGTTTTAGCATTTTTCGAATTCATCATATAAGGGGGTAAAATAGGTGATGAAAGTTTGTATGAAACTATCTTTTAGAGATTTTTTTGTAGTTTTAGAGCGAGCGAAGCCGAGGGTTCTGCTAGTAGGTAAATAAAAAAAAATTAATGGTAATCATTACTGGCTGAAAACTTGTACAACTTAAACCCAATACTAAAATAAAAAAATAAAAAAATGGCGACACTTCTGTAAAAATAATATTTTTAATTTCTTTCAAGATGACTTTCGAACACGAATTATAAAATATTTGAACGATATATAATTTATACAGACATTATTTATATACTTACTTAGTTTTGTTTGAGCTTTGTAGCTAATGTGCTTGAATTATTCAGTTTACTGTGAATAATGTATCTAAAAGCTCATATTCCAAGTAGTCTGTTTTGAAAAGCTAATAGTGTCTTGGTAAGAGTTATTACATGGTACTTATTTAAATATTTCTTTTCTTTATTTACTAAAGTTTTTTTGAACATTTTTATTCCATCCATTAATTAATTATTAGTATGAATATTAAAATATGATAAGCTAACATAGGATGGCGCTAATATTCCCCGCCTTCTTAGTTCTTAGCAAAAGCGCGGGAAAAATATCAAAACACTCACAATTTTTTTAACTCGTTAAATAAAATTAGCGGATTTGTATTTTTTGAGATAAGTTCAAGGTTGCACAGACAAATGGGTATAAACCAAATTAATCATTTTTTTTATTATTAAATAAATAAATTAAAAATAATCGTTATATAGAGTCTTTTATCGTTTGTCATAGTAAAAAGGATACTTATTAATAAAAAAAATATTAATATTATTATTAATTGATTTTTATTTTTATCTGTTTAAATTTATTGAATAAATATATTTGTTTTCCACAGACTGTATCTGAGCAACGTGCGCCCGCGCAACCTGAGATGCAGGCCCGACACAGCCTCTTGTGGCATCTGCTTATTGACCTACCCATATTACTGCTCGGTAAGTCTTTTCCCTATTTAGTTATTTTAAGTAAATAACAGATATATGAGAGTCAAATATTTATATATTCGTTTTAAATTGTTCTAACAACAAACTGAAAAACTGAAAACTACGTATCAAATGAGCGCTTCTTAGCTTCCTTTTGTTTTTTCTCTCTCACACTCTGTTTCTCCCTTTATCTATGCAAGGAAAAGTGCATTTAAAAATGAAAAAAGCAATACAAAATTACTTTTGAACAAAAAAGTATATCAATTTCGAAATAAATAACCTTAAAAAAAAGATTTATGAAAAATGATTCACATTACTACTCATACTTCTCTTTGAAGTCGGTCAATAACGTATTAACCAACAATACCACAAATCAGTCATCGTACATAGAAAATGCTAATTGACCCGCTTCGTGGTACGATTTTGATTGCGCAACTCATAAAAAATAGATGCACATTGTACATTGCGTCATGAAATAATAATAAATAACGAATGAAATAAGGTACAGTGCGGTCGATTCACCTGAAATTGTAGTTAAACTAGTATATATAGCTATACTATTTTTTTACGTCCTATAGTATTAACCGCCATTTCAAACTATAGTTATTTTGTCGAGATGGTTTTTTTGATGTTTATTTTTGGTTGTACATATCTGCCTATGTTGTCTGTAACACGCTCGCTTAGGAAGTGAAGCGGGTTCAAGGCCCGGGACGCGTCTCTGATATTTTCAGTTGCGAATCATTTCCAACATGATTACCACTTGTCTTACGGTGAAGGGAAACACCGTGAGGAAACCTGTATGTCTGAAAGAACTTAGTAAGTTTTTGAATGACATTGTGAAGTCCGCCAACCCGCACTTGGCCAGCGCGGTGGACTATGGCCTGATCCTCCTCGTATTGAAGGGAGCCCTTTGCCCAGCAGTGGGACTTTAAAAAAAGGCTGAATATCATTTGCCTGGCTTTGACCAAGCTTATTCATTAAATGATTTTATTATACAAACTGATAGATTTAGGTACCTATTCTTGATGTAATTTTGAGACAGTAAAATTTGTAATATCAATTTTCCTTTTTAAATTTATATCAATTAAATAAAACTATCTTTTCGGATTTTTTCGCTAATTTATTTAAAAAAAAATCGCGAAAAAATCCGAAAAGATAGTTTTATTTAAAATGTCAAGTATTCGCGTAAATCTACGAAAGTATTATATCAATTGCTTTAATTCGTCTTAAATATGATAAGTGACTCCGCGCTAAATAATTATAATATAATTTTAAGCCTTTGATTACATTATAAAACTAAGTAGCCACGTACGTAACCTACCTACAATGTCGACAGTCCGCGCTAAAGGAATGAAATATGAACAATTTGTTTTTTTAGTATCATGTTTTACGTATGTGGTAGGTGGCAATGTGAGAAATCTACACATTCTTTTATAATTTACGTTATTATTCTAAAAAATTATAATCATTGAAAAAACCATTCTAACCTAAAGTTATAAATGCTAATGTTTGTTTGTTATTTTTTGTATAAGTACGCAACAATAGATAGGCAGGTAATGGCGTGTTATTTTTTATCACGCAATAACTCTGCGAAATTTGAATCGATTCTCTTATTATTATTTTTAATAATAAGAAAATCGATTTATTTTTAATAAGATAATCGTATTATTATTATTTAATCCCAAATAAATTTCACCCCTAAAATCCACCCCTAGCAAAATTATAACTTTCGAATAAAATTTGAAGTCGGTGTATATTTTTTTGTTAAAAATAATTATGCAAAGTAATAAAGGCTAATTTTTACCACAGTTATCATACTTTGCCATTAATCTCCAATCCCACCAGTTTCAAAATATGGTGACATATAAAACTAGCGGCTCTTCCTCGCTTCGCTCGGGTTCGTCGCTAGGTATGTTTTAAATAGATATAAATAGTTATTAGCCAGCGTTAGCCACAAACATTTGAAATTTTTTTTTCGTTAATTTTTCATTTTTTTCTTTCTTAAGAACCTTCTCCTGACAATAACAAACAACAAAAAAAAAGATAAATCGTGTGACCAAGGGAAATAGGGATTCATTTTTAATGTATATAGATTTCTAGCATATAATTATGTAAATTAAGCCTATTAATTATATTATTTTTACTGACAATTTCAAATAAGAGGCGTGGAAACACAAAAAGATAGAAATATGGTGTAAGGCATTTCTTTATTGTGTACCATGTAACAGTACCACACTGATGACAAATACTAACACTCGCTTAACTATTTAAAGGGTTTTCAAAGCCTTCGTAGATAAGGATTATTTTACTGTTTACCACAGAGGAGTAAGTACCTGTTAAAATATAGTATCAATTTCATTTAGCCTACAAGTTAATATTTGTTATTACATATATTTTACTTAGATAATTATCTTTTACATATTAAAATCAATAAGAAATTCAAAATTCAAAATATTTTATTCAGCATTAAATTATTACAATTTTTACTGAACGTCATGAGTCTACTACCAGTTCGGCAAGAAGAAGCCTCAGACCTGAGAAGTACTGGCGAAAGAAACTCAGCGGGACCAATATAAAGAAAATAATATGTCCTACTTTTAATTTTAAAACAATTATATTATATTAAAAATATATAGAACTAGCAGCTCACCCTCGCTTCGCTCGGTTTCAAAAAACAAAAACAAATCTATCCCTCGAGAACCGTATATTTTTCCAGAATAAAAAGTAGCCTATGTGTTATTCCAGACTATATTCTATCGCTATGACAAATTTCATTCAGATATGTTCAGGCGTGAAAGAGTAACAAACATCCATACATACTGACAAACTTTCATGTTTATAATATATATACAGATTAAAAAGAAGTAGTTCTAACAAAAAAAAAATTGTCTTTACGTGGAGATATTTATGATTTAAAATTAAGTGCGACACTCTAAGACCATTTTCAGACTATACGCAAACAAGAAAGTGAAGCTAAGCTAATAATATAAGAAATTTTTTCGAAGTTTTGCAACCGCTCATTGCTTGTTGTTCTTAAGCACATACATATTTATTATATTTTGTTTACAACATTTTGTATCTCTATTCTCTAATGGTATTTCGAGACCACTAATACGTTATTCGTTACGGAATCGTAACCACCTGTATATGTAAGTTTTTGTTTCGCTAAAGCTGACTTTTTGACGTAATTTCTAATAGAAAAAAATCAAATAAAATCCCAAATCAATCAAAATTATATGACTAATTATCCGATTTTAACCTTTCAATACTACCTAATGTAGTTCCCATAAAATGATTAAAAAAATACTTAAAATGTATACAAAAAAAAATTTCTAAGGTAAATCCATTATATGTATAATATCTAGTGAATAAATAGTTGTGTTTGACCGCTGTCGTCTCCATTTTCAACTTGGGTGGCCATCGTGACACCTGACACTGTTGACATGTAAACAATGTACAGTCGCGCACGTTTTTGTGGTTTCACCGAATGAACACGAAATAATTGTTAGTTATTAAAAAGCTATTTGATACTAGCTACTGTCTATGGCTTCGCTCGTGTTTTCTATTTATTCAAACAGAAAAATTCACTTCCGTTTTATATTTTTGGCCTAAAGCGAAAAGTTTAAACTAAATCTAAGTACCTATATGGCCGATTGACGAAATCATTTCAACTTAAAAGAAAGGTATTCAATTCAGAGCTATATTATTATTTTCATTATGTGTATATTATATCTACGCTAATTTTCAGATGATTTTCAAATGATTTTTTTAAGAATAGTTCATACTTCAAGATACCATATAAAATCTCAAATCTTAACCCACCCTTGAGAGTAGAATTATTACTTTTGTACTTGTTGTTATCTATACATATACCTAATAAAATTGTAACAAAGTCGAATCTGTACATTAAATATTTTTTTGGAAAATCTTATCGAAATAGATATTATTATCGATACAGAGGCCGAATCTATAGTTTTTAGAATTTTTGTCTGTCTGTCTGTTACCGCATCACAGAAAAACCACTAGAGAGATTTTGATGAAATTTGGTATGGTGATCGCTGGTTATCCGGGTCAATATATAGGATACTTTTAACCGCGGGAAAATACCTCATTTTTGAGAAAAAATACAAAAACTGCAATGTAAGAGTATACTAATATGTAAAACCTAAGAATTTCTTTTTTGGTCCTTTGAACGCAAGCGGAGCCGCAGACAATGCTAGTAATACTTATATAATTTACATTTTATTATTTAAATTTTATACAGTTAAGATCAGCTACTGCCGTTTTGATTTTCCGCTTGGATTATCATCATGACCTGACCACTGACATGTTCATATTTGTGGTTTTTGGGTTATCTCGAGTAGTTAATAAGACATGATATAACGATTGCTCTTTTATTACATAAAAGTAACATGTTTTGAAATATTTATATATAACAAAATACGATATAATAAAAAATATGTTGATTACGATTTTGCTTACGTTTCATATGTAACCTTTATGGGTAAAATATAGTGAACTAACTTAAATGAATTGGAGCTTATCTTAGTACTACTTTACGCCTAGTGGTCGAAAAAAATTGAATAAAATTAACTTAACTATGTAATCAATATTTTATTGATAATAATAAAGCTTGTCAATAGCAACTAAAAAAAATTAAAAATCGATTGTCAAACAGAGGAGAAAAGGTGCTGAACTATTTCGAATTTTGTCTTTGCTTATTTATATATAGATATGTATAATAAAAGTATTTCTAGTTTTTTTTGCATATTCGATATTTTTGATTGGTACAATTTTTTATGCTAAAATTCGTCACATTTAATTAATAACCAAATACAAAGATATAAAAACTCTCTAAACAATAGAAATGTTAATGTGAGTGTTGCCATTATAAAGCAGTGACACGAACTATATATGTGTTTAAGCGCACGAAGCCAAATGCTCTACCTGTAGGTATATAGGCTATTATAACGTAACTAACATGTTTACAAAATTTAATATTCATTTTTTAT